CCCCAAAACCCCAAAACCCCAAAACCCCAAAACCCCGGGCTATACATTAGTTATTGAAGTATACATATAGTATTTGATTTTATAGATTTCAACTTTTGTGATCCATTCCCTACTATCTTCCTGAAGACCCTAGGTGGAGGTATTACCTCACCTTTCATAGCATGAGCTGGCTGCCTCACTGCCAGGGGCTTCACAACCTGAGGCTTCATAGGTATAACTTGAGGACTAGCTGTTTTAGCAGTTTTAGCTTTCAAACTTTGCTCTAGCTTCTGAACTTCCTTCTTGAGATCCTTATTTGATTTTTCAAGCCCATTGATCGTCTTCTTCTGGTTCTTGACCTTCTTTTCCAATATTCTAATCTGAGCGTTCTGTGAGTTCTGTGCTATAGCTTTCTTCTCAGACTTTGGAGGTTTCTTCCCCTGAGAGACTTTCTTCCTATAATAACTGTTAGCACATCTTCAAGAGAAGAGGATGTAGAGCCATTTTGGCATGCTCAAGACTTCATGAAAAGGGTAGGGCTTACTGTAAGGCACTTATATGAGTCTTGAATTGAACATTCTGAGTGCTTAGTTGGTCATTAATCTTCTCTAATTGTCAAATTTTGTTCTTTAAATTGGCAACCTCTTTTAGAGAGCTATCAACCTCCTGATTTTGGTCTTTGTAATCTCTAGTTTGGACTTGTGACTTTACTTTGCGTAGTTTGGCAAGCTGCTCTTCTAGTTCATTGATCCTCTGGTCTTTAGCTTCAGCAGAAGTGGTGATTTCATGATTTTTCTGTTTGAGAAATTCATTTTCAGCTTCTAAGTTTAGTTGCTTTAACTTTAACGTTTTGTATATTGCCTCTATGTCAGCAGGGATGGGCTGGCTCTGGCCCCCAATAGGGATTCCAACAGGAGCTTGGTTTACTAGAGAGCATAGGTAAGAATTCACATTTAGAAATTTAGAACAGAATTTGATTTTTAAATCCACGAAATTTTGTAAAAACTATTATTCTACAAATTTTAGCAAATTTTGAAGATAATCAAATTGTCATGAAATTAAGCAAAAATAATTCCACTTACTTTGTTGTTGGACATTGCCATACAGATAATCTCCATGCAAGTTATCTGAAAGGAATGGACTAGAAGCCTCACTCTCTCTTTCTTCTGTTTTAAAACCAGTTCTGTGTTTACTTCTGCTGTCCATATAGCTTCTCTTTTCTGCGGAAGTCCTCTGAGGCATTACAAAATCTGGTTCAATGTCATAGAGTATTTTATTGGCTACAGAAGGAGCAGGTTCAGTAGGGCTTTCGCTTATCAAGTTATGTTTATTTTTCCTGATCTCACTTGGATGGTGAGCATCGAAGCACTCTTGTTCATGCTCTCAGTATCCTAATTTAGCGAAACTATTTCACATTTTTGTCTTGTACAATCTATCTTTACTTCCAGTTGTTGGGATATAAATACTGTCAATCTCTGTTTTGTTCCTATCATCATCCTCGTGCTCCTCAGACCACTGAAGGAAGTTGATCTGTGGGTCCTCTGCCTCTGTGCTTGGCCTATACCACCATGAGTAAGTTGGAGCTTGAAATCCACAAAAAGACTTACAGGAACTGCTCATCTAAATAAGCTCTCTGACAAATTTTGTTCATTAATAATAAATATTATTACTTAATATCCAGGAGAGCTTAAATACCATGGGGTTTTGGGGTTTTGGGGTTTTGGGGTTTTGGGG